TTTTTTGCTTTGTTCCAATGCAGTGAGTTCGTTGACTTTGCCTTGTGCTCGATCAAGTAATTGTTGTGTATCTTGCATTTTTCTTTCTAGAACACTTAGCTGATTTTGATGATCCACCAGTACATCTTCCATCGACTGGTAAGTTTTTTCAAGTTGTCGTTTTTCATCTTCGAATGCCTTACGTTGACTTGTCAATTGCTCTAAAGTTTGTACTGCTGGGGAAAGTTCATCACGCAATTGTTCGACATTCTCATTAAGTCTTTCGATTTCTTGATGAAGTGTTTCAGTTTGTTCTTCTAATTTATCGATGTTACGTTGATATTCTTGAATTTGAGTTTCAAGTTGAACAACGCCAGCTTCTTTCTGTTTTAATACTCGTTCTAACTCTTGAATAGTTGACTGAAGTTGTCCGAATTGATTTTGTAAATCCTTCTGCTTGAGCCAGAGTTCATTGGTAAGTTCATTAATCTTTTCAATTTCTGTCGTCATATTTTTTATTTCTGTTTCAATATTTCCCATTTCTTGATGAAGTTTTTCGATTTGTTTTTCTAATTCCTCACGTCTATGTTCTTGTTCTTTCAGTTGTTCTTCTTTTGTATTTAATTCTTGCCGAATTTGTTCGATATGTTGTTGTAATTCTATTAGAGACATTTCTAAATAACCTTGTTGCGTAACTATTTGAGTCTCGCGTTCTTTGATATCGTGTAATTGTTGTTTCAGTTGTTGTTCTTCAAGTTCATATTTAGTTTTCGCTTTGTTGAGTTCTTGTATTTCATGTTCAAATGTAATTTTTTCATTTTCACATCTCACCATATTTTCTTCTTCTCGTTCAATTTGTTGCTCAAGTTCTAATTTTTGCATTAATAATTCGGCCTTCGAATTTTCAAGATCATTAATACGATCAACTTGTTGTTCGAGTTGTTCTATTTGTTTGGCACTTTCACTTAAAATTGAATTCGTCTTTGCCACTGTTTCACCTTTGGAGTTCTCAAGATCTTCCTTTTGGCTTAAAAGTTTTTTATTTTCCTTAGCACAATGTTGAGCAGCTTCTTCTCGTACGTGTTGTAGGCGCTGGTAGTCAGGTGATTTAATGTAGAAAAAATCATCGTTATCATTATCATTCGATGCAGCCATCTGAAATTGAAAATCTACATAGAATAAATAAAAGTAATTTTCGAAATCTACCAAGAAAATGACCTGAAATAACAAGAGAATCTTGTGTTCATTTCAGAGGGATGTTCGAGACCTTCCTAAAATTACCACTTCAGACTGTAGGTTTTTATAAATATGAAACCAAGTAGCAGCATTTAAAATAGTCTTTTATTCGAATGATAAACCCTGTTATTAATATATGGTAGGCTCCCTCGGTATATCTAAATATAAATTAATATACATGGGAATAAAACCTTGAAAAAGTAGCATGATACAATGAGCTACGCAATAAAACGGTTTTTTTTCATTACACATAGCGATTTTTTTACGATAACGTGTGCCCCATACTAAATGGCCGGTTTTCTCACCAATGAAAGTATATAGAGTTTATCCATATTTTTCACTTATTTATACATCATGTATTTGCACTGTTCGAGATCTACATAAATACAAAAGATCAACTCGATAAGTGGTTTTTAGATTGAATTTAAATATGAAGTCTAAAGATATACGAAAAGTAGTACTGTAAATGACTCATGACGGTATGTCATCGCTACAAATTGCTAGACAACTACGAAAAGTGGTCAGTGAGCGAACTGTCAGATGATGGCAACATTTGCATAGAAGCACCTATACAATTGATTTGAAAACGCCTGCTGGTGGACACAGAATTATACGAACAAAAAGTCTCATTCGAAAAGTCAAGAACAGGTTTATTTACAAAGGTCCACAAAATGCAAGGAAATTAGCTAATTCACTTAGTATTTCGAAGGGGACAATTGGTCGCATTATTCATGAGGATCTTCATTTACATGCTTATCGTATTACAATTGAGCCAAATCTAAATGATGAACATAAACAACGAAGTGTATCATTTACATATTGAGTAAGAAAGCTGTTAGCACAATCCCTGTGGTATTAAAATGTGAAACACGACAAAACTCGTTTTCTGGAATCCGTCTACCACGGTCTGTGACAGCCTGTGGAGCTTCTCTGCCACGGTCTGTATCTGTATTATGGTGTATGAAGTCTCTAGAGACAATCGCAGACCGTTGCACAGACTTCAGAAGCCATCACAGATCGTGACAGAGAAGCTTCACAGGCCATCACAGATCGTGACAGAGAAGCTTCACAGGCCATCACAGACCGTGACAGAGAATTCAGACACCATCACAGACCGTGACAGAGAATTCAGACACCATCACAGACCGTGACCGAGAATTCAGACACCATCACAGACCGTGACAGAGAAATTAATTAATTAATTAGCTAACTAACTAATTAATTTCTCTGTCCCTGTNATCTTTTGTATTTATGTAGATCTCGAACAGTGCAAATACATGATGTATAAATAAGTGAAAAATATGGATAAACTCTATATACTTCGACACTCCTTTCAGATCGTGTTTCACAAAATTATTCAGTCCAAATTTTGTTTTCTTCGACAGAATGGAAATCGTGGTATAGATAGTAATATGGCAAAGGAAAAACGAGTTAAAACGGGGGCAAACAATTTACATTTATTTATAGAAATGATAGAAAACAATATTGAAAGGAGTCTTTTCTTTATTTCTAGTCATAGATATTGAATATATCGATATATGTTTAGAACGGAAACATGTATATGTACACTGATAAAAAAAAGCGCTGAATGATAAACGTTTAAAGCGTTTATGAAAATGCAACGTATGATATACCCTTTCTATCGTTTAGCAGCATGCGATAAACCCTTTTATCTACCCATCAAGAGACGAAATAAAAAGGTTTATCATAGCGTTTATACGACTGAACAACTTTAAAAGGGTGTATCATACGCTGCATTTTCATAATCCCTATCGAAGATGTTAGAGAGTACTCTAACAAGTTATTTATTTATTTATTCTTATTTATTCTTGTTTCGTCTTTATACGTTATATGTATTTGTTATATGTGCAATTCAACTCGAGGTGCACATACTCCAACAGCTCTTTTTCATCCTTTCTTTCCTCTCTCTGCATATCTCTCTATTGTGTCTTCTGTCCTCCCGTGCGTGGCGACGTAAATAATGGCATCGTTTCTTCGACTGGATTTTAAGTGCATTTATAGAATGATGCACCACCATCTTTATATACAAAATAGTCTAGTTGAAGAAGTAAATGCCTTTTCTTCCTTTGTTTCTTTTCTCTCTCTCTCTTGCGTGTGTGTGTGTGTGTGTGCGTGGACTGTATAGCATAAATAGAAAAAAAAGAATAATAAAGAAAAGATTCAGATTAGGAATCGAAAATAGAAAATTTGTTGTCGATTGGTTAAATAGAAACATAAATTTCTATTTTGGGAATTGATTTAAGTTACAGCGGGGCCTCTGTAACACTTTCTATCTCAATTTTTTCAATATCTTCATATTAAACACAAAAATGCATGTTTATCCTTCCTCATTTTTGCTGTCACTATTATCTACACTGCTATATTGTAAAAATCAAACACATCGCTAATGTAAAAATATCGATGATCGAATAAGACTACTTACCAGCCGATATCAAAATGCTTATTTTTTAATGTTTTTCTGCAAGAGGTATTACTTTGCATATATATATATATATATATAGACGCTACATATTTTTTCTTTTTTTCTAACATAAACTGTTTACCTGACTTAATGAAGTGTGACTCTAATCTCGCTACTTCTTATTTTTGCATATCAAAACATTGTTTCATGTACACCGCAAGCTCACCAAATAAGTGGTTCATATTTTCCTTTCGGTTGTGACCAGTGCAAAACAAAAACGATGGGCATCTTACTATTTCTTTTCATCAAGTTAGCGCGTGGGTGAGTGTATAAAATAACATTAACCAGACACAGGCTTTCACACCGACACGCTAAGAAACCATTTTTGACGCAAAGCTAATATCATCAATCCCTGTACGTAGAGTAATAAACCTTTCCGATCAAACAGTAGAACAATCGATCTCTCTACGTAGAATGAAAAACCCTTTCGATGAAAGAACGGAAATATCAACCTCTGTACGATGAACAATGAACTTCTTTCAACAAAAGAGAAATAGAATCAACTATCAGCCGACGATAAAACTATCCCTTGAGATACGAAGGTAGATTAGTCTATATTTGTCAGTAGAATAAAAAAAAACTGTCAACGAACAGGCATAGAATCGAGCATTCACGTACAGTACTAAACCCTTTTTATTAAGACGTAGATGAATCAACTGTTGAACGTGGAATAGTAAACCCTTAGCAGGAAATGGTAGCAGAAGCTACCCTTAGGCGTAGAATAATGAACTGTTTCTGAGAAAGGGTAGCTTACTCTAGCCAGAAAAGTAGAGTGACGTACCCTTTTAACAAAAAGGGTAAAATAGTAAACCCGATGACGAAGAATAAAATACCCTTACCTTGAAAGCAAACAACAATTTACTATCATCCGTTGACAGATATAATTACTCTTATCTTAAAATCGTAGAATAATGAATCCTTATGTACCCATCGTATACCCCTTGAATTTTCATAAACCCATAGCGTCATAAACCCTTCGACTAATAAACGCTAAAAGGGTTCATCACATCGGAATAAACCCTTGAAGGGTTTAATGGCGACTTTTTAAGTACAGGGGTAGATCATTGCCCAGATTGTTTTATCAGTGTAGGTCGTTATATCCGATACCGAATCCTACCGGCCGACAGGATTTCATCGCATTACCCGGTTGAGAAACTCGAATCCGTCATTAATTCTTCGATCCGAGCTTCCATTGATCAGAAATCGGGTCCATCGTAAATTCAACGATTGTAGTTAGACTTTTTATTTCAACTCCGTTCTTAATTCTGATGAAAGTTCGAAATAGATTATCGAGGCTGAGGAAACCGAATCCGGTATTATTTATTCGGGCCGAGCTCGCATTAATTCAATAATAAGTGGTAAGTTATAAGATTCGGCTGCTCTTTTATCTTCTGGTATATGTCACAATTATCAATGGAAAGGTAATATGAATCTTATCAAATGAATTCAATATTTTCTTTATATGGGAATATAACAATAATCAATTGAAGAACAAGTTTCAGATGATAAAATGTATTAATATTTTTATCTACTTAGGTATATATGAATTATTGATTTAGTGATAAGGTCAATCTTACAATTTAAGTTACTCTTCCTATTTTTGTTTAGGATCATCTCAATAACAAGTAATGGCAATACCCTTTTCGTGGGAACAAAGGAGAAAGTGCTGGCTCGCATTCTACTCACAACAAATCTAGGTAAATATAAGACATCGAATTCAGTGGTTTAGCATAGTAATTAGGGTTAAGGCTAGAATTAAGGGTTAAAGATAGAAATAAGGATTATGGATAGAATTAAGGCTAGAAATAAGGACTAAGGATAGAAATAAGCATAGAAACAAGAGGTTAAATACGAAATTATCCGTTGGTTATTGCATTAGCCACGATTCCTAGACTAATTGAGTGTGATGAACTATATTTTACTACTCTAGATCCATCTTTGGAAGAAAAAGGAAAAGGTTCCAGATAGAACTAGTTTTTGCTGGAACCTTAAATGGCACAGAAAATGGTACCCAAATCTAGAACCTTAAAAGGTTCAGTGCGATACCTTTTTTCTTTCTGAGTACGTGAACTACCAACGTTATATCACGAATTAAATAAGAAGGAACTACGCATGGTAGTCGAATTAAAATGTTTTTTCTCACAATGACAATATAATCCGTGGATGTATGTTACTGGTCAGCTCAACTCTGAATAATTTTTCTGCCATAATCCCATGTAAAAAAATTTATGGTAGAAATCAGATTAAAATCGATTGAAAAATGGTTGAAAATCGATTATAATCATACACCTTTAATCGATTTTTAATCGATTGGGAATCGATTATAATCAAAAATAATCCAAAAAACAAAATTTTCATCGATTATTCCTATTATTTTTGATTATAATCGATTTTCAATCATTTTTCAATCGATTTTAATCTGATTTCTACCCTAAATTTTTTTACATGGGATGGATACCGTTTCATGAGGGACTGTTTTGTATGAGATCTTTTATCGATACTCAAAGTTTCCAGAATTTTCGCTCTTCGAGCAGTACGAAAAATAACTAGAACTAGCTATTCTTTGATAAATTGAGCCACACTCTGAAAAAATAGTTTTTTTACGGAACCTAAAAAGATTCTTCCCGCGGGCACACCGGAAGAACCCTTTTGGGTTTAGTATAGAACTTTAAAAGGTTTGGTATTGAAGCGTCAAAACCTTTTCAAGATTTACTAAACCTGAAAGGTGTTGCAGCTTATAAACCAAACCTTTTAAAGTTCTATACTGAACCCAAAAAGGTCTTCCGGTGTGCCCGAGGGAAGAACTTTTTCAAGTTTCATAAACAACGTATTTTTTTTAGAGTGCATTCTTAACTAAGACCGTATTAGTTACAGAAAGACGACTTTCACTTTAGTTTAGTACCATCCAGAAATAAACATTAAATACATCGTGCACATCTAAAACTGACTTTTATAGATTCATCTCCTCCTGGAAAATCACGCTGATTCCGCAATACTTTTACAAAAAACCCTCTGACATCGATATGCACATATGTTCATAAATACTGACATCTGCACAAATATCTGCGTCAATACATTCCTATGTTCAATCTTGAAATATCTGCACATTTGCACATCAATATTTTTTAAATACAAATTAAGTGGATGACATTTTTCCTGGTGCTTTTTCAAATGAACCACTTCTACAGCAAAATTTGACTACACCCTCTAGTTCTGGCAAAAAATACATGCAATCAGTTTATTTTCTGCATGCTACCTTAGTTAATAAATTGCAGCGAGCAGTGTATCTTGCAGAGAATTCAAGTGATCTGTAATGTTCTTTCACACGAACTTTTGGGAAACGGACAGTTACGCGCCGGCATTTGCTCTTTAGGACAATTGGTCGCTAGGACGGTTGCTCACTAGGAGAATTGATCGTAGTTCAGATTTTAGAAAAATTATGAATAGTATAATTCGATAACAGTCACAGCATAATATAATTTCTTACTGGAGAAAAATCATAATCATAAATTAATTGATTTAATTGTTCCAATATTGAATTAATCGTTTCAATATTGATTGAATTGATGATTCTAATAAATTGACAAGTCGTATTCAACGGAATAAATATATATTTAAGTACCTAACACAAACTAACAGAATCAATTCATGTAAAGCAATAATGTCAGTCATTTTAGCAAAAACTTCAAAAAAGGCACCTTTATTAATACACAATGGCTATTCATATACGATTGATAGAAAAACTATAACAAAAATTCTTTGGAAATGTGAATACTCCAGAAAATATGCTTGCCATGAACGTTTACATACAGAGTTAAATTATGAATTTATCAAAACAGTTGACGAACATGAAAATCACGTCGGCAATTCGCGATGCGCAGCAGCTCGCAAATATTATGAAAAATTAAGACAAGAATCAGAACAAAATAAAACAAAGTTTCATCATATTTACAACGAATTAAAAATCATATGCATCGAACAAACAAAATCGTAGAAGGATGGCATAGAAAATTAAACTGTGCATTTCAATGTAGTCATCCAATTTTATGGACATTTTTAGACAAGTTAATCAAAGAAGAGAATAACATATATTCGGAGATTTTCACTGCAATGGCAGAGCCCCAGGAGGTTCAATAGTGCGATCGTAAACGGTCGTAAACTGCCGTAAATCGCCCGGTTGGTATCAACCTTATTACGGGTCGTGAATCGCCGGGTCGCATACGGCAATTTACCGTGACCTTTCCTGTGCATTAAAATTTCTGCCTACCAATACCAGAAAGAAATTAAAAATGCGTTTAAAGTCATTTTTTGCCACGACATCGTCAAACGTATTTTCCCAAAAAAATGCCTTACCACACTCTTTTATATCGTAATCCATTCCTTTGGACACGAAAACGACTAAGTTACGAAAAAAAAACACAAAAATGCATTTAAAGGCATTTTTTTATGAAATTAAGATTTCGGAAGGGAGAGTAATAAATATGAACGCCCTACTTTGTAGAATGATCACCAATCAATTTTCCACACCGAAATGCATTTGAGTCGATGAAAAAGTGGAAATTGGGAGAAAAAAGTCTAGAAAATGCTTTCGTCTGCTTAACTAGCATCTAAAACTGATAAGTTGCTGGAAATGCAAGGCCGTTTCTCTCGGTGATGAAAAGAGATAATGTAATAAATTCAGCGCAGGTTGGTCTGTAGTGATATTTCCTAGTACGATCCAGTAATTTCGATTGAAAGTCGACCCTTTTTTGGGAAATGCAAATAATGCGTTTAAAGGCCTTTTTAGTGCAATGACTATTCTCAAGAGTCATCATTCGGTTCAAAATAAAAATTTTGGCATGATGAATGCGAAAGCAAACTCAACGCAAGTACAAATGGAGAGGTTGGGGGGGGCGCAGCATGGTAGTTAATCGCGGTGTCAGTTTCCATTAGTACGGGTCTAATTGGTGCCCAGTGACCGCGTTGAAAGTGTCGCCATTCGATTCAGAATAAAATTTTCGACATAAGTCATGTAGAAACAGAGTTAACACAGGTGTAGGCGCGAAGTGTAGAAGAAAAATTCAGTTTCCCTGCTTATTTTTCTGGTGTTGCTCTGGATCAGACTCATAAATCTGCTACTACATTGATGAAGTGGACGTTGGCATCGAATAAGGCTGCTCATTGTGGACTACAGCAAAAGACGGTGGTAGGACACGGTTACAGTGTACGGTTAGCGTATACGATATCTTACGTTATTTTATGAACTTCGCTTACAGGCATCGTATACGCACGACCGCCGTAAAGGACGACAGTTTACGTTAATAGTTTATGATAGTCGTAATACGACGTAACACATCGTGTACAATAACTGTAAATGATCAACATATACTACGGCCGTTTACGACCGGGCGGAATTGGCCTGGGACGACAACCACCAAAAAGAAAATATGCATCATTCAACAGAAGACTTCGACGAATAGTAGAAAATCCGCATCAAAACGTTTGCGGCCAATTAACATGCATCGGACGTTTATTGTCTCTATTAGACCTGTGACAGCTACCAGTTCCAGCTCTTTCGAAAAGAACTGGTGACCAGTTCCAGTTTTTTTCAAAGGAACTGACTATGCAATACGAGTAAAGTTCTCAGTTCTCAACTGTCACAGGTCTAGTCTCTATAAAATTTGTATTTTTTATTGATTATATTTATTGAATTTCTCTTGTATTGTCAACTAGTGATAATATAATTAATAATATCTTTTTTTAATTTCGTATTTCTTCTACTTTACACATTACGACCAACTCTCCTAGTGAGCAACCATCCTAGCGACCAATCGTCCTAACGAGCAAATGTCCACGCGTAACTGTCCGCGACCAAGTGTCCTAAATCCGAACTTTTGCTAGCAATGGCTAATCATTCATCAATGCCTCTTTGAGGCGTCATTCACGATTAGCAGCTGCATACATTACCAATAGACCATTGTTTCCAATTTATAATCAACCTCTATTGAGCACATCTTACCGCGTTGTTGAGACAATTTATCCATCCTGTCATTAATGCCAGCAAAGCTAGAGTGCATGCCTTTGTGCATGCTGTCTACATTTTTATAATTTGCAGCACTTAAAGTCGCATTCAAGAGACTCGTAAATTGCAATAACTGGCCATTCAATTCTGTGAGACTATTTGAGTATTGACCACTGTTCACTGCCTTGACAATTTTGTTATGATCCATATATTTATCTACGACGCTTTGGCACTTCGATATGCAGTCGTCTAAAATTTTAGACGCATCCCTTGATAATTGACTCGAGTTTTTTTATCCAGCATATCATCTAGTGCTTGGGTTGTTTTCAATAAACGCTCACATTTTTCTGGATTCGCTTTTAAGTTTTTCGAGATACGTATGATACCCATGATATCGAAGCATAGCGCATGTAGATCCGAAACTGGGCCCATCTGGATTGATTTGAAAAAGAAGATGCGTGTTTTAATCTAGAAAACGCAAAGAAGCATTTTTAGGCAATCAATACATATTCATTCCTCGTTTATACTCTCGAAATAAACCAGTAAGAGTCTGTATTTCGAATGTGTTTTCACTAAAAGCAGACATTTTAAAAATGCCAATTGAGAGGTGTTGGGTTGCGTGAGTTCTAAACTCACGAATCTCTTCGGAACTCTACACCAACATTATTTAGTAATAAATTCCACAGAATTCATGGAACCCCCTGAACTGCTGAACTTACAGAACCCTAAGGACTCGCAGAACCCCCTGAAATCCTGAACTCACGAACTCCCATCAATTGCTGAACCCACGTGGCTCACGGACTTCATGGAACCTAACAAACGTTCGATAGTAACTGAGCTGTATGTGATGCAGGAAACCATCAGAATTGTTGGAACACATCCAATACTACAAATGCTTTAGGGTTTCCATTAGGGAGACGTGATTTTGATTCCAATCCTTTAGAAAAGTCGATTTGGTGATTCCGACAGGACTCCATAAACGCATTGAACCATAGCTGGGCAACTCAATTAAAAAGCCGAGCAACTGTACTGAACTCAATTCAATTAATGTACCTACACTGAAAAAAAAGAGTTCCATACGGAACTTAAAAAAGGTTCCGAGATTTGCAATGAAATAAAAGCCTTTTTTCGGTTTCGTACGGAACCGTTCCCAATAAGTATTCAAAATGGTTTTATACCTCAAATAACCTCTCCATCCGAATGCAATACCTCTGCGTTTGCACTAATACTACCATTAACGCTTCCATTACAATTCAGGCAACTATCCCTTTGTTAACAAGTTCATTTCTTAATTTATATCTTAACTTTTAAATGTACACTTTATGTTACCCTCTTACTCTACATTTAGCCCTTATTCTGTATCCTTATTCTACATCTAACCCTTATTCTATACCTAACCCTTATTCTATACCTAACCCTTATTCTACATCTAACCCTTATTCTATATATAACCCTTAACCTGTATCTAAATGGTTCACCGTTTAGATTTTTGTTTTACAATAATCAAGAGCAGTGTGTGAATATGGATCATCGTCAACTGATAAAAAAGATCGATTCACATCCTAAACAATCAGCAAAGTATTTTCATCTCTTCAAACTCGCGATTGTTTTTTTTCTCTGCTCGGATTGACCTAAAACGAGAAAAATTCTAATATTATAATTATACTTACCAGCGATACATTTTGTTGTGAAAAATCTAAATAGAAAAACCAAATTTCAATGGTTAATTACATATACTTACAATGGTTCTTTTTTCTCAGTTTAGATTTACCTAAAACGAGAAAAATTCTAATGTTATCATTGTACTTGCCAATGATACATTTTGTTGTGATAAATGTAAATGGACACTATATGTTTTTATTATTTTTTGATAGTAATCGATTTTTGTCAATTGTGATCCGATGATTGTGAAGTGAAAAAACATGTTTGTTATTATGATAGTTACCGTGGATTTATTTCATGATATAAGGCCGGGAGAAAAATCGTTTGTGTGTTTGGTATTCCTAATATGAATGTTGTTAATGGAGCATACTTGCGCAAGTTAGATGATTCACTTCAAATGACTTTTCTGTATTTTGTTTCGAATTCCATCTCTACGGTCATACAGCTGATAATTGTTTCATGAGATAACGCTCATTTTCCGGCCGATGTAGTTATGACATAACGTATTCTATAGGTTTATTGTTTTTCAAGGCAAATTTAATGTAAAAATCGTAAAGAAAACGGTCACGAATAAATATATAAGTAAAAGAGTATCTAAGAAACAGCGGAAAATGTGCAAAATAGTTCTTGAAGCATTTGCTACTAGAAGTGTCTCAGTTAGAAAAGAAAGCTTCAAACTGGAAACGTTTGTATTGGTTTGCATACATTTATATAAGAAAATATATCATTAAAGGGTTCATCTATGATTTATGCAGAAGATTATGTTAGTCACATAAAATACAATACAGTCGTTTCAGCATCAACAACTTCTACATATTTGAACTTTTATGTAATAGGTACAAATTCTAGCACGATTATATTACATTCGATGAAACGTGGACAGTTTTGCATATATATTTGATTTAATATTATTATTAAATAAAAGCATTCTTGGATATATATATGCATAATGTCTACATTTTTAAATTTTTCTTTTGTGCTGCGAAGACTTTGTATACGATAAAAAGTAAAAAACAAATAATGTAAAAAAGTGGAGAATAAGAATAAGCAGTAGTGTCAAACTTGAAACTTGAATTCAACTGAAACTTCAAGTTTCAAGTTTCAAGTTTCAGGTTTGACGTTATTGCTCTGACACTACTGCTTCCCCGGCACCCATATTAAGGGTACATATGTGTGTGTAGACAAGCGTATCTCCCTTCCCCGGCACCCACACCCTTGAAAGTTGAAAGTTGAAACTTGAAGTTTCAGTTGAATTCAAGTTTCAAGTTCGACATGTATGAGAATAAGATGAACAACGTTTGTAGTAATGCCACAATATATACGTAAAGCGTTCTACCAACTTTGTAGATAAGCAACGTGGTTCTTTGCTTGTTTCATTTATATTCGAAATATAGTGCCGTTAATAAATTATAAGTACTTCGACTATTTGCTTTTGCTTGAGGTACTTAATATTAGAAACAGTGAACTTGATGTAGAATAAGATGAGCAGCGGAAAAATAAGTGATTGGTTTTAACTTCACTCGGCAACAAAAGAAGTAATGACAGAAAGCGCCACTCTACAACTTATGTTAACCAAAAAGGATATAATAGTATTTTACAAACCTTTGTAGAATTCCAAACCTTAAAAAGGTTTATTACGACACCTTGTTGAATCCGAAACCTTGAAAAGGTTTTTTACGAAACCTCTGATGGAACTGAACTACTATAAGGTTTCGTGTTTCCGATCGAAACCTTTTGAAGTATAGTAAAGCACCACGAAAACTTTTAAGTTCCGCGTGGAATCTTTTTTTTTTCAATGTGGGACTGGCGCATCCCTAATAACGGTAACTGGGCAATTCGTCGCAGACTATTCATCGCGTAGTTAATTGCATGTAACACAATAGGTGAAGAGAGAAATTTATTCATAGAGAAGTCTACTGAAAATCATATTTTAGTTAAATTTACCTTTGCAATCTCAACTGTGATATCGAAAAATCATTTTCGCAAAAGCTTTTCGTTCGAAAGGTTAATAATTGTTACCTTCATTGCCAAACATAGACTTCTCCGTCTCACTTGAAAAAATTTTTTTTGTACTCATTCTTGGTAAAATAGTAGTAAATTATTAAATTTCTATTGAAAACAAGTGACTGCCTTGACTTTATAGAATAATATTATATGTATCCATGTCCAAGCAAACGGTGTGTAAAATGCCGTAAACGGTATAAAAACGGTATAAAACGTTGAAAAACGGCGCCGTTTTCAATCAGCTCAGAAAAAGAACAGTGTTAAAAATGGTAATCGTTTTTTTAGCAAAGAGATGGTTCGTAAAACGAGCTGACAGATTATGGCGACATAAGGTTAAAATGAATGCCTTATTATACCGTTTATAGCCGTTTCAGACTTTTTAAGATGCTCGTTCAGACGGTCGGAATGATTGTCCTGGGTAGCTTTCAAAATAATTACTTTGTTGTGTACTCAAAAAAAGTGAGTACACTCTAGATTCGGTCAGTGTGTCCGGCCGTTAACATGATAACTCTTGAAAGCCTCATCCAATTGTCTTGAAATTTTGTACACAGACTGATCTCATCAATATGTCACTCGAGTTCGAAGATGAGAAGGATCCGCCAAGAAATGGCTGAGTTATCGAAAAAATTGTCATTATTGACCAGACCATCCCTGAGGGGATACAGGGTTTTTTCAAGAAAATTTTTCTCAGAATTATTCAAAACATATAAATCGACTCAGTTTTTGCAGTACACATAACAATCGGATGCGAATCCGATGTTTCCTCATTTATTCTATTATTCAAAAACACTGTTAGAATATTTATTTTTTGCTTGGTGAGGATAACAGTTATAATTTTATACATTAATTGAAACACGGTTTTAGTTAAGCCAATTAACAGTAAGACATGGTACGTACCATGTTGCGAATGCCGGATCATTTCTTGCGGTAAACCGCGGTAATGGGAGCCGGTAACCGGACTTGTAAAACCACGGTTAACCGTCGATTTTTATTACATGGGACAGTTCTAATCAATTACAGTACATTCGTGACAAATAGTGTGAGAACAAATCGTCTGCAACGAATGGTCTGGCGACGAATTCACCTAGCACCTATATAACATTGTTGACTCAGAGGCTATCAATTAAGATGCCTCACTATGACTAAAAGTCTTATATCAAAATAAAAGAAGCATTCATAAAGATCAACACGAAGATAAATAGTAGTAATTACAAGAAAAACTATAACATGTATCAAACCAAACAAAACAAATTCCAACTGCTAGGATGCTGCTGGAAAATATTCTACAGCCAGATCTTGAAAATGTGAGTAGTATTACAAATTTAAATAACCCAACTTCCTGTGTTCTACTAATACCATGCCAGATCATTCCCACCCACAAAGGCATGACTCTATATCAGGGGCGGCGGAGCGTCATTAAGTTAGGTGAGGCTCATAATATATTTTTTTCTATTGTGGAGTTTTATGAAAGCATCAAGCAGAAAATAAGCCTTCTTTTTATTGAACTTCAGTAAAAATAAAAATGGTCAGTATAAAAACGATGATTGAGAAAATACCAAAATATACTTTTTTTACTCCTATTTTGATGCAAGAATAGAAAAATAGTAATAATCAGTACAGAAGCAAGTGAGGCTCAAGCCTCATGGGTCTCAGTGACTCCGCCGCTATTGTTCTATATAATAATCTAGATATTATTTTCATGTATTTGAAAGAGGAAAAAATATTTTTTTTCCAGTGCCAAACACCATCGTACCTAATAGTTATTCGAGACAAATATACCAATTACAATTTAAGCGTCTATTGTGCATCTGATAAAAAAAAATTTATTATAATTAATTTTTGAAAAGTTGTTGTAGCTTGAAACGAAATAAATGTTTCGAATTGTCCATTAGAAACATACGGCATATAAAAAAAATTCGAGTATTTGTTGATAGAGTCAGGGACGGTGTGAAGCAACAAAAATGTAGAGGGGTTACTTGAAAACGGGAGGCTTTTTTCAAAAATCGGAGTAAATCAATAAAAATCTCTTCTCTTTTTTTCAAAAATCGAAGTAAATTAATAAAAATCTCTTCTATTTTCTTCAAATCGGAGTAAAATTGAAACAAAAATTTCCAAAGTGGGGGGGAATGATCTGGCATGGTATTAGTAGAACACAGGAAGTTGGGTTATTTAAATTTGTAATNCCCCCCCCCCCCCCCCCCCCCCCCCACCCCTCCCCCTCCCCGTTTGCGCCGTCCCTGGATAGAGTGTAGTAAACGGCATTCTTCTTCAACGATGAATATACAAAATTCATTATATTTATGTTATTACGAGCACTATTTTTTATGACCTTCATAAAGTATGAATAATCAGTTTTTCTTTCACATATCCACCGAAATCATGCTCCTAAGGCTATTATTTTTACTTCGTTTTTAATTTGATCGATTACGTGTATGTTGACAAAAATTCGCATGGTATTCTTTTTATTTCTTGGCATATTTCTCAATGAAAAGACCTTTGATTAATTTCATACTTAATAGTTGGACATAAGAAAAAGTGCCTGGTTGACGAGAAATTCATCCAAAAGAGAGTGAGAAAAAGAATCTGTTTCAATATATATGTGCGCTGTGTCACGAAAATGATTAGTCGAATAATAAAAATAAAATCACGGTTGTCGTATTTTTGGGTTATTCATCATTTCACCCTGTTTACGACCAAGGATGAAGTTCTATTGGGTTTTATTCTCAACTATATTTCTACTTAGTATTTTTACACCGACAGAAAGTTTATTTTCTGGCACAACTTTTCAAGATTTCGTTGATAGTTTTGTTGATGCTTCAAAATTTAAATTTGAAGGTATATTAAGTCTTAATGATTCAGCTATCAGTCGTATCTGGTCTTATTTCAAATCAAAATATGGTCGTGTTTATGCATCCTTCGGTTAGTTAACAAATTTAATTGATTTTTAATTTGTTTTTAAATTTATAGATGAAGAAAAACAACGTTTTCGTGTATTTAAAGATCATTTGAAATATGTTCTTGAATCCAATCTAGAAAAACTACGTACATTTGAATTAGAATTAAATGAATTTTCGGATTGGACGATAGCGGAATTTAATTTATTTAAAAAAGGTCTTCTTCCATCTAATGATTTACAACAACGTAACTTTGATGATGATGATGATAATAATAGTAACGACGAAGATTCAGTTCGTCGTAGTTTAAAAAAACTCTATCGACATCATTATAATCTCAGACGATTAAAACGAAATTTAATTCATAGACGACATCATAAAAACTATGATGATAAACGTGGTTTTCGTGATTGGCTTTTGGATTTACTTGTACCGAATTCAAATAATAATAATAAAAATAACGCTCAAACAACCAGTTCATTTGATTGGCGTAGTAAAAATGTTGTTAGTAGTGTTAAAGATCAACAGAAATGTGGATGCTGTTATGCATTTGCTACAGCTGCCGTATTAGAATCTCTATATGCTATAAAAACAAAATCGAATACTGTTACTGAATTGAGTATGCAACAAATAACTGATTGTTCAAGTAATGGCAATAATGGATGTAATGGTGGAAATTTCGGACCAAGTATTCGTTATTTATTAGGTCAAGGAAGTAAAATAGCTACACTGCAATCTTACCCTTATGCAGGAACGAAACAAACATGTAAAACAAGTGGAATCGATCAAATAAATCTTGGTAATATTCAATTCGGAGCAATAACAGAAGGTGATGAAAAAGAAATGGCTAACGCATTAGTTACCTATGGACCTTTGTTTATTGGTCTTGATGCTGATTCAGAATTATTCATGTTTTATAAAACGGGTATACTTAATATAAATAATTGTCCAAAGCGTAGACAAGATATGGATCATGCTATGGTTGCTGTTGGCTATGGCTATGATACTGTATTGAAAATACCTTATTGGATAATAAAAAATTCTTGGGCTAAAAAATGGGGCGAAAATGGTTATGTTCGTTTAGCTAAAGATAAAGGAAACATGTGTGGTATCTCTTCCATGGCTTATTATGGAAAATTAACTTGAATATTTCACTCGTGTGAACATTAATTTTGTTTTTCTTTTAAGAAAAACACTTCGCAGAGTCACAAAAAAGAAGAGAACAGTAGACGCATTGTATGTGTATATGTGAACATGATGAAATAAATTGTGAATGAGAAAAACAAAACTGATGTATCGTTAACACACGCATTTTTAAATAAGAATGTCATAAACAAGTTCGTATCAAGAAGAATTCACATTTAGTATGCTTTTATGATGATGGTTTGTCTTGATCTGAGCTATTATTAGGATCTAGAAGAGAGAATAAATACTTAGTTTTCAATGATTTTTATTGAATATACTTGATGATCCATTGGAAGTACCATCTGGTCCTCCATCAGTGTTTCCATCGGGTTGTTCTCGGTTACCCATATTACGTCTAATAGATTCAATAAGATCAGGATTATTAGCTGATAATTCTGAAGCCATACGTTGGCCTCTAAAGAAATAATACTTGCTTCATTAACAAGAAAAATAAAATAAAATATTGTATCTTACGTTTGTAACAGAGTTTGTAAACCGACTTCACCACCTTCTTGTGCTCCTAAATTTGTCACTAAATTAGCCATCCTACAAAAAATAAACAAATAATTATTTTTTAACTTTTAAGATAAAAAAATAGATGCTTACAGTCCTTGTACTTGAGGATTTTGAACAAACTGCATCGCCTATAAATTCAAAAATCAATTAAACAATTCTATTTTCATGAGAGAAAAACAAACCATATTCATCAACGATGGATTATTAAAAAATGACATCATATCAGGTCCACCAGCTGCTGCAGCACCAGCAGCAGGGCCACTCATACCACCCATGCCACCTAATAATGAGCCAAACATTGCTTGAAGGTTAGGACCCTAAATAAAATATTTATAAAAGCAATGATCAAACTTGAAAATCTAAATACATACACCAGGTGGTGTAGCACCTCCCGGCATTGAGACTAATCGTTCTTCGCAAATTCTTATTGATTGTTTATAATTTTCATTATTTGGTTCTAATGCATGAGCTTTTTTATAAGCATCAAGTGCTTCATGTACTTTATCTAATGAAAGGTAAATAACACTAAAGGTAAAAATCAAAATTTTGTTTTAACTATTTTTTTTAACTAAGGAAATATTCTTATTACATACCCGAGTCGTCCATATGCTTTACTGTAATTAGGATCGATTTCAATTGAGCGAAAACAATCACTTAATGCTTGATCATTGTTATTTAATTTATTATGTGCAGCAGCACTGAAGAAAAAAAAAGACTTATTTTCCTATACATAAACAATCATTGAACTATAACTAACCGATTGCAATAATATATGGCGTTGTTACCATCGATTTTCATAGCAGCATTATATGCTTCTAATGCTTCTCGATATTTTTCTTGTTTAACAAATTCGTTTCCTTCATTTTTTAATTTATCTGCTTGTTGTCGCATATCATCCGTTAATGGTACACTCATTGGCTTTAAAACGAAATAGATATCAATTTCAATCATACGATTTAAAATCAAGGATGCTTACCAGTTGTTCACTAGTATGTGGCCATGATGTAAAACTGATTGATTGAGCTGCTTCTGTTGCAATGGAAATCTCAGTTACAAGTGGTAATAGTTCTATAACGGGACCATATACTGATTCATTTTGTGTATTTGCAAGTGATACGTCATAGGCTGTTTCAAGGCATTGAACAGCAACTAAATAAAAATGGAAACGTTTAAATAAAGATGAATTGGTTTCTTTTATTGAAATAATTTATGTTGTTCATATACCTTCCATACTCTCACGTCGTTCAGCATTGTTAGTCTCAGTTTGTATTTCTCCTTCGAGAAACTTTAAAATTGCGTAGACTAAGCGTTGTTTGTCTATTTCTTGTTGAGACATCTCTAGAAAACTATAAGATCCAAGATTTATCTATTGCTATTTCAGATGAATATGAAACAATTGAAATACATGAAAAACCTACAACGAATTTACCACCTATGTGTCACTAGATGAGATCGAATGTAATAACCAATTGATATGATAACGCAAAATAGATGTCACTAAAATCCAGTTAATCATCCAAAGCTTATTATATTTAGTACACATTTTGTAATATATTATTTGAAAGAAATTATAAAAACGATTCAAAGATGATAGAGGTTGTTTGAATAGATGAGGGTCAATTGAGAATATCAACTACGATTGAAATTCAAAACGATCAGACCGATCTAGTAGTTGCCAGGGAAATTCTTCTTTATCAGAATCTTCTACGACATATATTGATAATAGCATAGTTGTTGTTGGATATATTCGAAATTTAAGACTCTCTAAACAACTCTACGCATATGGTGAATTCAAGTTCATAACTTGTGCATAAACAACTGATTATCTACGGATATCAAATTTGTCGTATTACTAAAATAAGAAAAGCAATTTCATGGTTAGAATTATACATGATTAGATTTTTCTCTAGTATTATGTCATTGTTGAAATCAATTGAGTTTGTTATGTTCCAGAACATAATGCTCGACAAGAGATATCTTATGATCGAATTTCATACCAATGACAAACGCTAACCAAGAGTAATAAGATACTTCTATTTGTCAAACTGTACAATTTCATTGAATAATGAAGAAATCCTTGTTCATTCTATTGTTATTATTATTCTAAGGCAATAAGCCTGGAATATTTGATCGATATTCAATCAATACGCTTTGATATTGTTTACTTATCATACAAGGAAGTAGAAGATCTTTCGACTCAATCAAAAACGTGCCAGTTAAATATTCTTGTTTTCTACGTGTTAGATGTAAATGATCAATAGTTTTTTTCTTCCGAAGTAGTTGGATCAATTGAATCGGTATGAAACGATTCTAGTAAACCATCTAACTGTGATGTTTGTCAAAAATCGGGTATAATTATCTATGAAACCTTTGTAATTTATCTCTCCGATTAACCTTAGCTTTATTTTCAAAAATAATTCTTTGTTCAACAATGTAACTAAAACAAAAAAAAAGGCAATGATTCGAAAATATTTCATTTATATGATAATAGATTCTAGTAATAAGAATAAATACTTGAAGAAAAAAAAATCGAAGTTTCATTTTGACTATTTAAGTTTGATCAGTGATTAATTTTCTTTTTCAAAAAAAAAAAAGAAATGAAATAGAATCAGAAACTAAATCAAATCATTACGTAATAAATAATGTTTAATTTTCTATTTAACCTTCCTTCAAAAGCTATTGCTTTGTTCTATTATTCAATAGAACTATTCATGTTCCTTCTTAAAAGCTAAATATTAATATTGGTTTTACGGCTTCTAAATGTTCTCTTTATCAATGGTCAATATTTGAAAATATCTCAACTCATTTTGAAATTATTTATTTTTATTATGACAAGACTTGTATCTCTTATTTAAATAGCACAATGTCATGAATCTTTTTTTCTCGTATGTTAATCGAGGTGTTATTTCAATCTCCTCCTTTTCCTTCGATGACTAGCTTATTGCAATGTTTAAGCTGTACATGTACATACATTTCTATTATTCTCTACTGTCAGTTTGTACATACACATGCACACGCAGAGGCTTTAAACAATTGAATGACCTTTGAAAGATCTATGACATAATAGAAAAAGAAAAGGAGGAAAGAGAAAAAGTATTCAAATAAAAAAAAGCCATATGAATTTAGAAGGTTATTGGTTACATCCTACAATGATGATCCTTTCGTTTTACACTGACAAAAACTAATAACAACGATATAATGAATGTTGAGTATGTGAACTTTGAGGAATGTGTTGTTAAAAAAAGAATGTCTTCGAATCAAGTAAGTTAAATTTAGTTGTTGTTGTTTTTTTGATTGATAAAAAAAGGCAAACACTTATTTGTTTTACTGTAAGTATCATCATCGGATATTATGGCATTGCGAATGAACCATCATGTTATTCATTGTTATTTTTATTGGCTTTTATGCAAGTACTGCTGAACTTGTATCTTCTATCCCATGTGAATATATTACTGATGAAAAACTTCAATGTCGACAAACATCTTTCATTGACAGTAATATTCCATTAAATAATAAATCGATTTATTCTCATATAACAAATATTGAATGGATTGAATCAGGTGCATATATTTTATCCGATGATCTTTTTCATTTATTTTCAAATCTTAAACAAGTTTCATTACGTTCAAATGCCATAACATCGTTATCGAATTTACCATTTTGGCAAAATTTAAAACACATTAATTATCTTGATTTATCACAAAATCGTTTAGTCTCAATAACAAATCGTGATTTTCAATCATTTCATAATTTAGTATCATTAAATATTTCATATAATTTCCTAACAACAATTGAACCTATTTGGTTTTTCATACCATTACATACAATTGATTTATCACAGAATGGTATTAATACACTGGGTTATACGAGACTTCAAAATAGTACACCGGAATTAAATTCATGCGTATTAGATCGAGTCTATTTAAATGATAATCGTGGCCTTCTATCATTTACACAATTACATACAACGATAGTTAATGCTTGCCCATTTCTTGATCGTTTTCAATTAATGAATAACCATTGGCATTGTACTTGTAGTGACATTATAAATTCACTTAAACATTACCGATCATTGAGTCTCATCGATGATTCTTCTCTAACTTTAACTGGTCAATGTGAAACACCCCTATCATTTCGTTATATTGATATACAAAAAATTACTGAAGAATTAGTATGTAATCAATTTGCACTATTCGATTCAATATTTAATGATGAACCATCACAAACATCATCATCACCATCATCATCATTTAGTTTTTCTCGGCAAATAATGTTTTTATTTTTCCTGGGTTGTATTCTTGGTTTGATTTTTGGTTTATGTCTACGTTACTGTGCTCGGCGTTGTCGCGATATCATTCTTATTATGCTCTATAAATGTACAAGACAAAAAGTAGTCAATGAACGACATGCCAACGAATCTATTCATATGACAGATACTAATCTTAATCCAAATCAATTTATTTATTGTTCAACTCTTGAATCTGATTCATTGCCAAGTTATGCTCAAGTAATGAATGATATTTTTTTTTTAGATGTTACTACTCGATCACAACAAAGTGAAATCGATGGTGATTGTTAGAAGAAGAAGAAGAAAAAATGCAGGAATAAAAAAAGACAAATATCTTATTTAATGAAGAAAAACAAAAATTCTAATGTTTTTTGTTTGTTTGTTTATCTAAATAAAAAAATATCATTTTTCTTATTTACCTAAAATAAAAACAAATTTATGACTAAAATATTGTCAAGCAAAAAAAAGGAAATTCTAGCTCTTTAGCTTGTTAGATGTGTTGGCCACTATTTCTATAGCGTTAATCATAATATTTAATAATAGAAAAAAAAGAATCACTAATAATTTTATAAAAAAAAACACTAGCAGTTAGTTCATGTACGCAGGTTCAACGTGATCGTTTTAGAGTTTCGATGGAATCATTTGCTTGAGTAGTTTTTCTAATTTAAGTGCTACTGACAAATCACCTGTTTAAAAAGAAAGAGTAACTGATAAACTCATTGAAAGGAAACACACAATTCAATTTACCTTTAATTTTTAATTTTCCACCCATAAAAGCTGCTGTTGGTTTTAATTTTCCTGCAAACATTAATTGAAAATCACTTTTAGACATTGTCATTGTGCATTGTGCTGGACCTGCTGCTGGTTCACCTTTACCGGCACTTCCATCACCATTTTTCATATCTAAATACCATTTTTCGCCTAAATACAAAAAAAATATTGTGTCTTTTTGTACAAAAAGAAAAGAAGCTCGAAAAAATAAAGGATACAAAGTCACATCCTCTGGCTACAATTAATACGGCTTTTCACAAACCATGACAAGCACCGTAATGAAGCTAGTTTCCTCTCGTGTCGTAGATCTCGTTGATCTACAGTCATAGATCGTATATCAATACTGTCTGTGTATACACAATGTGACGTACGTTCACTCTTACAGGATTATCTAAATACATAGTAAATGAAAGTGTCTTAAAATAGGTAGACTAAGACAATCTCCTAAATGAATAAATATACAGCAGCCTCAATCCATCTGTCTTGTGATTCATACTTTCAAATATTTCCTGCTTAATATCAGTAGGGTTAAACTAATCATTAAAACAAGAAATACTATACCTTGTAGATCAAATGAATAGACGCTATTAACTTTTTTCAATAGATCTGGCGTAAATAATACTTTTATTTTGTCAAATATTTGTTCGATATTTGCTGGTCCACTAGCAGCATTTGCTTCTGCTTTTGGTGCAGCCTTTGATGCTTGCAGATGTTGTAATTGAGGAAGATTTTCGTCAAGAAAAAAATCAAGCATAAAATCTGTTGTACCAGGCACAACAGAATATTGATCAAAATCTGTTACGCCTTGTTGTCGAAGTAAAGCTTCATCAACAAAAAAATTGCCTGTACATGATCGACTATCTTGCGTTAAGATTGCGTAGGCAGCATCAGCCATAATTTGTGGTGTTCGACATTTTTTTCGATAGTCTTCACCAGCAATTAAATTTATTGCATCAGTATCAATAGCTATTTTGGCGTAGAAAAATAGAATCTCAAATGTAAATAGGCCAATGGTTTCATACCAGTTTTTGGCCATATTGCATTTACAGCAATACCGGATTCACGTAATTCAGCTGCAAGACCTAATGCATATAAAGACATATTGTATTTAGCAACAGTATATGCAACATGTCCTTTAAACCAATGTGGATTCAAGGATATTGGCGGAGAATTCATTAGAATATGAGGATTTGAAGATTTCTTCAAATATGGAATAGCAATTTTTGAACTAAAAGAAACAAAAAAAAAAATTTTTAGATAAATTTGTTATCATTATAACCAAGAATATCGGTGAAGAAAATGGAAATGATCAATGTTTTTAGTAAACCTAATTCAAAATGAGTTAACAAAACTCATTTCAAGTTCTCGTGATTACATTTTTTAACTATTATATTACATACCAAAGAAAAGTGCCACGTGCATTAATTGAATGCATCAAATCATAACGTTTCATTGGTGTTGATGGTGTATCCGTTAATGATATAGCTGATGCATTATTAATTAGAATATCGATACCGCCAAATTTTTGTGCAGCTTGTTCGAATGCTTTGATAACTTGTTCTTCATCACGTACATCGACAACGCATGGTAAACATTTTCCGCCAGCCTTTTCGACTTTAAAACGAGAAGCAAATGACGATGAACCTTATGTTTCTTTTTGTTATTTATATTAAATATTACTTTCTTCAGCAGCTGTGAAAATCGTTCCTGGTAATGTTGGGTGTGCTTGAGTAGTTTTAGCAGCAACAACAATATTAGCTTTGTCTCGTGCACATCTCAATGCAATTTGTTTGCCAATACCACGGGATGCTCCCGTAATAAAAATTGTTTTTCCTGCTAACGATCTGTAGAAGAAAAGCAAAAATGAATTCTCATAGTTCTTCAAAATTATTCGACTTACGGCATGGATTTTTAATATGTTCGAGGTAAAATATTATCTGAAAGGAGAGAAATTTTATAAAAAACGGTCAAGAAATTTTGTATAGATCAATTTAGCTTCAGATGTCGTAGGAACAAAATGCCCACCGTCATGCCGTAATATTTCAGCATCTTTATAACATTCATTCACTAGTGCTTCTGACATAGGAGAAGGAATAACACGATCGCCTGTTCCAATCACATGCAAACTAGGTAAATCTATCTGAAGATTATTATACGTTGATTGATGTTGTTCTTGGCCACTTTTAAAGCCAGCAATTAATATAACAAATCGAAATGGACATTTTGTTGCGCCAAAACGAGCAAGAAGTAATGTAGCCAAAGCAGCACCTTGCGAAAAAGCTAATAGGCCATCGAAAGGTGTTGTTTGCTCATCAATATATTTCATTACATATTCTACAGATTCTTCAAAGCCTCGATCACATGATGTTGTTACTAATGGATCATAAGTTTGTTCACACGAAGAAAACCACCAACCTTTAAAAAAGCAAAATTTTAGTTTGATACCTAATCACATGTAGTTGTCGAACGTAGAAGAGGCTATGGATTAGTCTGCCCTTATTTTGCACTTCAAGGCGCTCCACAGTGAGTTAAAACGGATGTTTCAAGAGAAGAAGTTACGCTACATGAAACAGCAAAAAAGACTAGATCTATTGTTTCAACTTTTACAAAAGCAATAAAAAGCTATTTATTCAGGAAGACAAATGAACTTGCTCTGTTCTCCATTTTGTTTTTGCAATCTGTGTGTAGACTCATTCAGTAGTATGTTATAAAGAGATTAGACAGCGCTCTTCTACTTTTGATAATAATTGAGCAAATCGATTTTTATTGGGTACTTGTGCCTCTAGTTAGTTCGTATCGCTCATAACACATTTTTTAAATGAAACGTTTTCACCTCGTGAACTGAATCTCTTCTGGTGGCGTCTAAGAAAATGATGGGTTGTTCAATTGAGTTTGCTTTGCTTTCTAACTTTTCAAACGAACAAATCCATCTTGTATCGTAAATACCCCTTTCATTTGAACGATTTGATGCTGTCACGCTAGTATCTTGTTCGTTCGTATTCTCTTGTGCTGGAATAAGATGTGGCGCATCAATATAAACGAATTCAGCAACGTGTTTTTTTAATAATTTTCTAAATGATCCTGTTTTTTCTCGAAATAAAGTTCCATTTTGTCGGTATCCATGTAAACACAACACACGTAATAGTGTCATACTAAAATAAGACACAAATGAATCATCGAATACACAAATAAATTATTTATTTTTTGAAGTTATATTTTATTTATGATAAAAATGAACTATCGTAGTACATAGAGGAGATTACGATGAGAACAAAAAACAACAGAAATAAGGTGTTCTTTTTTTTTTCTTTATTGAAAATACGTATATTGAGACGAATAAAATAATCTGATTTCGTTTTCTTCTAAACAGATTTAATAACACGCATTCGAAATTGATCAAACTTTTCTCGTAATTCCTTCGCATCGAAATTGGCCACTTTATCATGAACTATTTCGTAAGCTTGTGTAATATAGATTTCAGCCAAATATGTTAAATTAGCGGTATAATAACTTGACCAATCAAATAAAAGTTTTAAATAATGAACACTTTGGTTGAATATGATTATTGATAATTTTTGAATCTAGTAATGAAAAGAAAAGAAAAGTCAGAAGTGATACATTAAAATTAAATTGATGATAATTTCTATACTAAATTCGTAACTGGAGATGTGTAAAACTAGTCCCACACATCTCTATTTGTGACATATCAATACGATAATTCCGCAATCTCATAGAAATATTAATATCGCTTCCATACAAAATTGAGAAGTTTTCAACGTAGTCCGTTGAAAGTTCTAAAATAACTCTTTTTGTATTCATTTTCCATGCAAAACGGCTAATATCTATTCTTATCCTTTATGATTCCTATTGAAACGCTACACAATATCTTGTGCGCAGTACAGTAACTCATATTGTTCTAATTGTCTCTAAGGCGAAGAAATGAAGCAGCAGAGTGAACACACTCTATCGAAGCTTTTCCGACTGAATTTTTCTATTACAACTTACCTGTTCAGCAATTTCAGCACTTTTATCATAAATTGGCCCTTCAATATGTTTTAATAGATGATTCCATTGTTTTTGAATATATTGTCCATATTGAATTGCATATGGTTCAATATTTGCCATAGTGGAACGAAGAAATTCTTCACCATGTCTATCAACATATATTAATAGATAACTTAAAAAACTGCACACACACGCCCACGGATTTTCTTACTTCAATGACAATAGGGCTAATTTTCTTGTTTCTATGCATGCATTTGATAAACGTTCTTTGATAACGACAGCAGTTGGATGTTTCATATAGTCTAAAATTGAAATATATTTACATGATATTCAAATAATGAATAGAATCTTTTTTACCTTCAAGCAAATAGTCTGCAGCAACAGTCAGCCATAACCAATTTTGATAAATAGTAAATGAGACGTAAAGTAAAACGAGTAGTTTAAGAACTGAGCTAATTTTAAATTGAGAATTTGCTTTACATTTATTGACCACCACTGCATCCTAAAGGGAAAAAAAGTTTCTAGTAAACGAATCATTCAAAATGAATTACATTTTTAGAATAAGCACTCAAGAATTCTCTATGTTCCACATTATCATTCTCTTCATTATCAACAATTTCAGTTGAAATCGTTCGAAGTTGTTGAACAATAGTACGGAGTTCTTTTGAAGATGATAGACCTGAAATTGTTGTTTCATTGGTATGTAATAATGATAAAAGATCCCTATAACAAGAAAGTAAAGATTATTAACTAAAAAATATTTAAAACAAAATATTTACAATGAACTTTGAGGATCTTTTTGATGACACGACAACCAAATTTTATGTATTGACTTATCCGTAAGACAAGCGACAATCATACGATCAATCTAAGATAATAAAGAATTCATTGATTAATAGAAACTTAATAATTTTTCTGTTTACATAAGATTGACTTTTTGATGGACGTTGTTTGTCAGCATGAAGAACAGGAAATAGTACTTGAAAATAATAACGTGAATATTGGGCTAAATTTTTTGTATTATTCAAGAATAAATCCTATGATAACAGAAAATTACAATAGGAAAATATTATTGAAGTAAAGTTTTTACTGCGAGAATAGTTGCACTTTTTGATAATGATGTCCGCATATCTCGTGTTAATGCAGGATTAGGTTGGTCAACAAAATCGATAAGTTTGATGTGCGATTCCAAAGGAAATGTTTCATTGGCTTGAAGAAACTTTTTATGTTTGGCATGACGTCTGAAATAATCAATTGGAAAAAATAATTCGTCGAGATAAAATTCGTATGTAGAAATTTACGTTGTAATTTGGCTTAAATTTTCCACGATAAGTTGATTGTATGTTCGATTTTCAATCAAAGGAAACATTAAACGAAACCAAACTGAAATGAAATAATAAAGGAATGATATTAGAAATCTATTTCAGTAAATATGCTATAACCATGTAATGATTTATTTTTTAGTTAGAAAACAGTATTGTGACTTTTTAACTTTGATCATGTGTTTATAATTCACTCTAGGATAAGATCAATCATTTGAAACGGTTATTATTCCATGTAGTTACTTGAGGCTAAGCTAGGATTAGTTTAGACATAATCTTGTTCAGTTAAAATGTACTTTCCTGTTAGCCGCCCATGGCATAATTAAATGAATGCGGTATCTAAGAAGAAACAGTTCATGGAAAGGAATAGGCTTAGCACTTCTCGAAAGTTATTGCATTGCATTTCGAAATAAACTAAATATTTTTCTAAAATCAGATACATTCTCATACGCCAATTTTAAGCGTCGCAGAAATGTTTTTCAGTTAAGTATGTGATCTTTGATACCAAGATTCAGCTGAATCTTCAGAAACAAACTCCATAAATAGATTGCTTTTCTAATTAACTAATAATGAAATTGACTGATTATGTTTCTAGCTGTAAAGTATATTTGTTCTTTTGAATGTACATCGTCTATGAAAAGAATCTAAAAAGTATCTTTAGGGAGTATCCCCAAACAATATGACAGGAAGCACAGTTTCTCTTTTATCAAAGTAAAATGTTTCGAATAGAAACCACATATTAATATGTAAATAAACGAGAAAAAAATCGATTGCGTGAGGGAATCACTTAACGACTAGATCGTTGTAATGAATGTTTCATGGCTCTTTTATTCGAATATTCTCTGTTACTTAAATCAATCGAAAATGATAGTCAAGTGTATTGTAGTTAACTGAATACTATTCTAAGATAGTAATCAATCATTCTAGTAAGCTTACTATCTAGTGCTAAACCAGGATATTGATATTGCACTTGGCTATAAGCCCAAAGTAATCGAAGTACTTTATCCGATGGATATCGTTTGATTGATGTTGACAACTAAACATATTTTAATAAATACTGTTATAATTGATTTAAAAAATTGTTAGTTTACATCATCAACATCATCGAGAAACGAATCATTGGGTCGTTCATGGAGATTTCGAAGAAAATATTGCAATAGAACTTGATAACCAACAATACCATGAACATCTAAAATATAAAATAGTCAACATAAATGAACGAAATGACATTTATATTTACCAGCATTAGGATTGAGAATAGCAGTTCGGCAGAGTGTAATTCCTTTTAATTTTGCTTGTGTATCAAAAATTTCTTTTAAATTTTCTTTAACCGATGTTGGCAATGCATTCAAAGGATAATCTTTTTAAGAGAAGAAAAACTATATGGAAAAACGAATCGTTTGTTATTTTGAATTTACCTTGATTGTCTTCCTTGGAAAATGTTGGATCATTGAAGCCGGACGTTACATCTTTGAATTGTTCAATGAACCAATAGCAAACTTTTTCAACCCACAATGATGAATTATCTTTCGATGATTGATATAATTCTTTAATTTTATCAGCACTGATCTATTAAAATGATTGAAAAATATTAAATTACTCAATTAAATTCTTAAAACTAACATTTTGCAGTGCTTGCTTCAATGACAATGCATTCGAACTTGATTTATTAGGCTTATTGGTTTTCATCGGTGGACTCTTTTCGATAGATGCTGCTGCTACTACAGGTTTTTGTGGTTTTATTTCGCCTGGTTGATTTTCATCGTTTTCCTCGGGTAGTCGACTTTTCATTGAACTAAACGCACTATCTGAAAGTTTAATTGCTAAAAAGTAAAGAGGAATAATATATATTTATTTATTTATTTATTGAATAGTTATGTAAAATAAATACTTTTTATTTCAGCTTTTGGCATAACAGGTATTCCTGATGGTTTCGTAGAAGATGGAGCTGCTTTTCCTTTTGGTTTTCCTGCCACTGTTGTCCAATTTGCATCGTTATTTCGCATTCTGGTATTTACGAGAAACAGAAAATATATGTAAAATCTAAAGTATAATATTCACTGTAAACTTTAGAAACAAAGGCAACAAATTATGCATTGTTTTTTCTTTATCATTCGCAATGCATATCGTGGCGTGGCGTGGCGTGTCAATAACGCATCTCGAAAACTGACTGGTAATCCTAATGTAACCAATCAAAAATTTGGGCCGTTTTTTTTGCAAACAAAACAAAAAGAAGTATATTTACTATTTGATGTTGCAACCGATTGATCGACAGAGGAGCTAATGACTGTACTTTGAGCAAATATTATTATTTTTTAAACTGTAGTCATACTTGCAATATTTATTATGATCAATAGAAGAGAGAAACTAGAGGTAAAAGCGAATCGAAATAACTAATCAACTAGAGCGATAACTCATCAAAATTTTACTTCAGATCAATTTGTTTAGTTACTCAATTAAATCAAAATAGTTAATTATAAAAATATTTTACCATAGAATAAATATCAATACTACAAAGTCTAAACAATAATTAGGTTTCATTTTTGATTTATGTGATAGGCAATAAAAATATCATCAATCGATTAATTGAAAGCTAAAATAAATCTATCAGAGACTCTAACCAAATTAAATCGATATACTTTTTATGCATGTCAGTATTTAAAACCTAGAGCGAAAAATTGTGTCGTTTCGTTATTTTTGAATTATAAGTCTGCAAAGTTTCGTTTTGAGATAGGGTTGAATTGTTATCTTTCAAGAAATAATCGAAATTTATTTATCTATTATCACAAAGAACAAATTGGCTTAAAAATAAATCGGAGATTTATACTAAAATATGTTTAATAATACAAAATCAAGAAAAAATAACTTTCACAGTAACCTAAATATTATACTTGATAAAACAAAAGTTGATTTAAAATAAAGGTAGCCATATAAATTTCATTCACTTCCATCGAAATACAAAAATGATCAATATAGGATGTTTTCCCTTGCGCAATCATCTGATTGCCATTGTCAAATATTGATTCAGAAAGAATGTAGAATTTCGGATCGAACTCTCTATGTTTCAATAGATAAACAGACGATTACAAATATTTTGTACCGAAAATACTTCCTACATGATAGTTCGTTTATTTCCGCTGTAATTTCAACATCTGTATTCTGAATCTGAACTATTCTATAAGTAATATTTACATAATCCATGAATTTCTCTCATCATCTCATTTCAAACCATTTATTAGAATAATATTTTATAATATAAATGACAATTTATTTTTCCTTCTGAGTCGCCAATTCAAAAAAAATAATGATATTTACAAACAGACAAGAAAAAAAGATAGCAAAATCCCAGATCTAACAAAAAAATAGTGTTTTGTTTATGCTTGCAAAAATAAACTTTGCAGACAGTAACAACCAATAAATAGAAACAAACTGATATGATGTGTATGACATGAACTCAATGCATCTATATTAATATCTCAATAAAATATACGATTATTTTAACGTAGTATATATATATATATAAATAAAATGATGCACAAGAAAATATAAAATAAAAATATGATTATTTAATTTAAGTCTGCACTTTAGTTACAGTTAATATATGTTCAGTTTGTTTAGAATGTTTCATTTTTGTTTTATGTTCATTTTTATGAATACCATTTTCTTTTATTTTCGGCAATGTTAAATCAGGTACTCGTTGTGAACGGTTAGGATTTGAATCATTCGAATCCGTGGATAATTTACGTTTCTTTACGCCATTGAATAGGAATGAAATATCATCGATACTATCTTGATCATAATCATCAAAATGATGCTTGGCGATTACTTTAACTAATAAAAGAAAAGAAATTAATATCAACAAAAACGAAAACATTGAATACGAACTAGTTTTTTGTTTTTCATGTTCATTAGTAAAACATTTTAATTTTCGTTGTAGTTGAAACACAGAACATGTTGATACAAGACACCAAATAAATAAGCAAACTATAGTAAAAACAATTAAAGGTATCCATGCTTCGAGTTTTATTAAACGAAGAGACATTTGATTGATGTTTTCTTGTAATCGACTTGAATATTCTTCTAAATTTTCCAGCTAGAAAGAAAAATGATTTTATAAGCCTTTAGCCAAGAATTAATTACTTTTTTATCGGCTGCTTTTGATGCTTGTAAAAGAAGATCGGTTGTTTGTTGTGTTTCGTCAAGTTTTTTCCTATAGGAGAAAAATCAGCTTTTTTTATGAAATATTTCTTATTTTAAACATACACATAATGTTGACTAAGTTCTTGTAAATATCGATTACTTAATGTTAAATTGAAATTAAGTTTTTCAATAATTTTGAATAATTCAGGCAATGATTTTGTATTAACTAACATGCCTTTAAGCCACGGACTAGAAATCATAGGTGGCAATGCTTCGTTATTATTTGCGGTCGGTGGTACCGTCGTTGACGCTGTTGAAATCACCATTTCTTCAATACTATTCGTATCAACTGAAGGTTCAGTTGAATTAATATCCAAATGGAGTGTTTCAAGAGTTGAAGATTGAAACGAACTTTGATTTGCCGTATTCGATGATAGCTGAAGTTCAAGCACCATAATTGTTTCGTTTGAAATATTATTCGACAAACTTTGTTCGCTGGATCGGTTCAATGTATGATCAATATTATTAATTTCATTCAATAAAGTGTTGTTAAATTTTAATGTAGATTTATTATTTGAGAGATTCACACCTAAGATAGATAGGTTTGCCTTTTAGATCCACTATTCGCTTTTCCTTGATGTTCTTTATTGGGCGACTCTAAGCTCTTGTAGTTTTTATAGAAGAATAATTCGATTCGAATTTCTAACAAATATTTATTTGTGCTTTTTACGCATTTTATCTTATCTTGTCACTAATGCTGAAATATAACAACAGTCTATAAAACGAAATGTTATATAGTTTGAAATTTAGTAGAGATTTTTTTGTCAAATATTTCAGAATGGCTACTTTTTTATTATAACTCTTTTATTTGAATTAGAAAATCTATCGGATTAATTTCTTACTTTCATCATTTATTATAATAGTGTCATTATTATAAACAGTGGAGTTTTTTTCATTAAGATTCTGATGTAGTTCATGATTTAGATTTGTTAATATTGTTCGATTGGATTCAATTGCTTTTTCTTTCTTACAATCCAATTGGTTAGTTAATATATGATAATATCCACACGGATGAACATATAAATTTAATGTTAACATTCTAGGATCTCGTCTGTCATGATTTGTCATTAATGGACATTGACAGCAGTAATTTAATTTAAAGCAAGTATATGATAAATACATAGTGCATGTATCATATTTAGACCATAAACCATGAAGAAATTCAGAAATACATTGTTTAAATGTATCACTTTGACGCCATGATTTAAGCGTATCATTGATTATCGAATCACTTAAAACCGATGGATGACAATCAGTTTTTAATACATTCGTTTCTGTTATTGTTGTTGATGTTGATGTTGATGTTGCTGATGTTATACCACGTACAGGTGTCGGTCGACGAAAAACTCTTTTCGCTAAATCAAGTATAGCCGAACCAATAATACCACCAACTTGCTGATCGTTCGATAAATTATTATCATCATCATCGTCATTCTCATTATCCTCGGGAATATTTGATAAAGATTTCGAATCGATTAAATTTGTATTCTCTTCCATTGTCATTATTTCCTCTTCAACATTTGATCCATGTATTCGTACAACACTCAGTGGACAATAATGTTCATGTCCATGAAAATCTAATAATTCAAATTTAACATATTTAACGTATGTTGTCGATTGCATTGTTTGAAAACTTTGTATTGTACGATTAGATGACGCATTGAATGTACCCAAATGGTGGCGATGCCAATCTTTTGTTGGATATCTTAAATATTTATTAGACAATTTTAGAATCATATTAATGTTGATTAGTTTTTATTTGAGAGTATTCGCGGTGCTTTTTTTTAGAGAGCACCACGTACTAGAAGACTGTTAAATTCTTTTTTTAGACCAATTTTAAGTTTAGTTTTCTTTAAAAAAAATTCATCGATTAGCTTTAAAATCATATTCATATGAAAATGTGCTTTCTATGATGTTTATATTATTTTTAGCTAAGAGAAGATCAGATCTGTTTGCAAATGAGAAATAGAAAAAGATGCAACATATGTACATGTTTATAACAATGTCAATATTATTCTGGCTGTAATAAAAAGAGTAAACAAAATTTACCAATCCTTATGAAATCTTCTTTCCTATATTCTTCATTCACTTTTACTGGCCCTAGGATAATCCTCTATCTTAATTATTTCATAATAAAATATCTCTTTGCAGAACACTGTCTACAAGCAGTGTTGATGTATGAAGAAACAGATTTAGACCTTCTCGATCAATGCCTAAATAACCGGGGGGGGGGGGGGGGGGGGGGGGGGGGGGGGGGGGGG